CTTTGTATCCTGAAGCTTAATCCGTCTAAGTTCTATTTTTAATTTTTCCTTTTTCAATAGTCTTTAAATGTATTATTAATTTGATGATATTGTAGAGATACTATGCAACAACTCTATTAAGCATTAGTTGATCATCATTACTCATATTTTCTCATTTTAATTTATAAAAAAAGGAAAAATATTGTATAAGCTACATCTTACTTTATACTGAGTTGAAAAAACGAAAATTAATAGATTTTGTTATATTATCTTATCAAATGGAATTATTTTGCATTTCTTCATAAAAATTTCTTAGATTTTTGTCAGAGTTATTATGTAGAAGCTTTTGGCATCTAAAAATAACTTGATTTGATTTTGTTAGAAAGGAAGTCACAACATTTTTCCTCAGTTTTGCAACAAAAAATAATGGAACTTCAAATAAACATCAATTCAAAGTTGGATGCGTTAAATATTCAAAATTATTTATAATGTCTCATTCAAATAAACAATTTGCTACTTCTCAAAGAAAATGCAACTACTCTTTACAAGGTCAAAGGATCTAAATTGCCTCCTTTATTGTGTAAAGAACTAATCTAAGTTAGTCTTGTCTTGGCACGTTAGCAGCCATTGAAGTAAGAAGTGACATGTAGGAAGGCATCTTCTATGCAAGGAATAGTAAGAGCACCCATTGGATGATCATATCCAAATTCTTCTTCTGCTCGACTTAACAGCTCTTGAAATGAAGGTTGATTCAAGTAAGATATGGGGATGACAAACCTCTTCACCTGCTCTCCAACATATACCACAAGATATCCCTTTAGTATTTCACTTGACTTTGAAGAAGTTATTTTGGTGGCAAATGAAGCCTTTCTCATTCCAAGTAAACGAAAGCCCATTTTTGTGTTCCAGAGAATGACAGAGAGAGAGAGAGAGAGAGAGAGATCAAAATTTAGATGCTTGAAGATATTGTTTTAGAATTGCTATGCTTCTAAAATGCTTGCAAGTATAGGTATATATAGATGGATGGATTTGTTTTCCTTCAACAATTGCTGGGCAAGAGGTTATGTGATAGCCAATTGGAAGATAAGAGCTCACTAGTGATCACATGGTTTTGTCTTGGTGGTCTATTTCAGAAAGAAACAAGTCAGGACGACGCACAATGAAGAGAGGATATGATTGATGAATGGTTGGCTGAATGAGGTACAATCCAATCCAGGGACATAAATAAGATAGATCACATGATTGTGTTTTACGTCTTTGTCAAATATCTAGAAGGATCATATTGGAACAATTTAAAGCTCTTCTAATGTCTATCTAAATATTTTGATAGTTGTCATTTCAAGTTATAACATGCTTGAGACATCTCTTATGTTTCCTTCATTAATCCAGCTGATAACACGATAGAGCAGCATTTAACTGAAAAGTAAAAGTGAAAAGTTGGCATTTCTATATTTTTCAGGTTAAGAAGTGGTTTGGAATGTCGGCTCTAGATCCGGGATTTACCAAAAAGAAAATAGAATCACCATCAATTTCGAAAACTAGTACTAAAATAGTTGATAACGTCTTTGGCAGGGCATAAAACTATTTTGAAAGCAAGAAACATCATTGTTAAAGCCAGCTGATTTAGGAGCGATTGATTAAAATATTAAAATCTTGTGGAGGAGAGAATATCATGATCACTAAATTGTACAAGAAAGACCACATTTGACGTACATTCCTTAGTTGTACAAGATGATCTAATGGACTCGAATGAAGTTTGGAACGCTGTTCTATGATGTTGATACATACCAGAAACTAAGGAAGTCACAGATTATTCATGAAATCTAGTGGTCGCCATGCACCAAAGAGGATTAATGCAAAAAATCTATTAAGAAATCATGTGTAGCAAGAAAGTTGAATATAGATGCCGACGTTACCAGCTATTGAATTTAGTTCACATATTTTATTAGTTGAGATAATATCATTGGAGAAAAAATATAATTGGTGTTTCCTCTACCTTATAAAATATAATTACACAGTTGAAATTAGAAAGTCATATAACTTTCCCAGGAAATTTAGAATTATTTTTATTATCAAATAACAACTAAAAATTCCTCTGAGAGTTTCAAAGGGATCAATATGCTTGAACTTATAGAGACGCTTTTGTTTCCATAAAAACTAAATCTTGTTTTGAATTTTCTGGATTATTAAAGAATATGACATTTTCAGTAGCCTAAACTAAAAGCTCAATGCAATTGATATTCAAAATTGACTGAAATAACGTGAAAATTGTCCATTCGTGAATTTTTCATCCCACTTACAATTTGTCATTTCCCAAGTATATATAGGAAGAAAAAGATGGCAAAATCTTTACATAGAAAATTATCATCTAACTTTCCTTCTATACAAAGTTGTGTTGACTAATCTAATTGTTAATGTTGTCTTTTCATGCTAGTACCCCTTGGAAGAGATGACTTTCAAGAAGATATCTTCTCTGCATGGAATAGTGAGGGCACCCATTGGATGATCAAATCCAAATTCTTCTTCTGCTTCACTTAACAACTCTTGAAATGAAGGTTGATTCAAGTGAAATATAAGAATCACGAACCTCTTCATCTCCTCTCCAACATATACCGCTAGATATCCCTTTGGCACTTCACCAGATTTTGAAGAACTGATTTTTGTAGCAAATGAAGTCCTCTTGACTCTAGGAAGATGAAAACCCATTTTTGTGTGTAAGAAAAATAAGAAGGAAGTGTTTGAATGTTGTTGCCTGAGAATATTGTGAAAGATTTGTGTTGGTTGCCTCTGAAAGCATACAAGCATGTGTATATATAGATGAATGGCGGAGGAAAGGGAAAGAGATAGGGCTTAATAATTTGAAGACATGGGCATGTAGAGTTCACAAGAGGTTGTCTTAGAGGTCTTTTTCAAAAAGCAACTAGTCAGGATGAGCCAAATGAAGAGAGAGGACACCGAAACCCATTTGGTTGAGATATGATTGGGAAAGGTTTAGTTAGGCAATGTAGTCTAAAGACTTAGATGAGATGGATCACATGATATTGTTTTTTGTTTCTCAAATCTTAATGTCTATCTATTATCTAAAGAACTTTATAGTTGTCATTTCAAGTTATAAACATGCTTGAGACATCTCTTAGGTTTTTCCTTTATCTACATTAGTCCAATTGAGACCATGTTGGAGCAGCATTCAGTTGAAAAGCCCAGGTATTGAACCTTTAGAAAGTGTGTCTTTTACAGGATTGCAATAAATATGCTTCTTGGATCAGGTTAATAAAATGTCTAGAACGTTATACCAAAACAAAAATTGTCTGTAATGTTGTCTCGAGTGGAATACTTTTCTTGGCACATTCTTAGGTGAAACTAAATATGAAGACTAGCAAACATTAATTGATGCGATTAATGAAGTTATTAATGAAAGTCGGATAGAACAAAATGCATTTTGCTCTCGTCCATTCCCACCTGTAACTAATTGCCTCTAAATTTCTTCACTGAACAATTAAAACCTATATATACTATAAAAAAATGTAAATTTCTTCACATAACAATTAGAGTCTAACACTTCACGTTCTTATTCATCTCTCAGATAACATTGTGTAATTCAATAACAGCTCAATAAGAAATTTTGAACAATCAATGATGGGAAACCATGGAGCTATTTTTTTTATTGTTCATACTTCTTATTGGAAAAAATAATGTTCAAAGCATAGTTGAGATTAAATATGGGTACTTCTTACAATGATAATTCAAATTTTAATTTGCCACTTTATGGAAGGACTAGCCCTTTTCACGATACCCAACTCTTGTTAGTCCATGAAGCTATATTTTACATTTGATGAACTAAACATTTTTCCTCGGCTCATTAGGAATTATCTTGTATATGTTTATGTCTTTCTTGATTCTTGAGACAAACTTTGACCTCACAAGCACATGTCTGTTTGACGACTTCAAAATTCATGTTTCACACTCACAGTTCAATCAAAGTTACGGCAATCAACTAATTAACGGTTGTGTTGGAAAGTATCTTTTAAATATAATCTAATTAATAACATAGTTAAAGACGACTATATACATGAAAAAAAATAATGAAATGGAACTCTGATGATACTTCAGGATGCTTTCTTGTGAACAAGCATTAAGATGTTACAAAGCGATCGACAAGGACCATAAGAAATCACATGATATTGTCTAAGGTTTTTTTCAAGGGTCAAGATGTTAAATGAGAAGACATTACAATTACATATCAAGACAACTAATATTAGAGAGATCATATTAGAAATTAGTTTTATTGATACATAACATTAGAACTTCTTAGGATTAATTGGCTTGTAGTTACATATACTTTTATTACCTTAAAGCAAAATCTTTATTTGAATTTCCTATATTAAAGAATATGATTTTTTCCAGAATATTTCTACATAATAATAAAAGGCCCATTTGGATTTCATTTGGGTATAATTGATTATGAAAATAATTAATTAATATTATTGATTTTGATTATAATTGATTATGTTATAACACAATTTATTTGAATATAATTTTTTAAAATTGATTTTAGCAATATAAATTACCATAAAGGGCATTGCTTTTTAAAATTAAATTATCGATAAAGTTATATTTGATATTATTAAATTTGTTAAACTTTATTTAAGAAGTAAAATATATTATTTAATGATAAAATTGAATCTATAAACAATCTTTCAGAGCTTATTTCATAACATGATTCTAACTCAACGATCAATTATTAAATTTTTTAACTGTTTGGTTAATTTTGGTTAAAATTGATTATTTGGCCCAGATTACATGTTGAATCCAAACACGCTGAAAATCCTTAGTTACCTAAACTAATAAATTCAATACCTTAAGATGAAGGTGAAAATTTTGATTCATAAATTTCTCATTCTGGTATACATTTTTTCACTTGCCAAGTAGTAGGTAGGAAAAAAGAACAAAAATCTTTACAAAGCAAAAGGATTTACAAAATTGTGTTGACTAATCTACGTTAATCTTGTCTCTGCCCTCAGTTAGCACCTATCAAAAGAAGAAGTGACATTGAGGAAGACATCTTCTCTGCAAGGAATAATGAGAGCCCCCATTGGATGATCATATCTATACTCTTCCTCAGCTTGGCTTAACAATCCTTGAAATGAAGGTTGACTCAAATATGATATGGGGATTACAAACCTCTTCATTTTCTCTCCAATATAGACTGCAAGATATCCCTTTGGCACTTCATTTGATTTTAAAGAAGCCACTTTTCTGGCAAATGAAGCCCTTCTCATTCCGGGTAAATGAAAGCCCATTTTCTATGTTTAAGAGAATAAGAAGAAAGTGCTCAAATTTAGATGCTTGAGGATATTGTTGTAGAGTTGCGTTGCTTCTGAAATGAAAGCAAGTATGAGTATATATAGATATGAATGGATTTGTTTTCCTTAAATAATCGGTGAGTGAGAGGTTATGTGATACGGGCTACTAGAAGACAAGGGCTCCTTAAGATCACGTGGTTGTGTCTTTAGAGGTCTTGCTCAAAAGCAACAAGTCAGGACGAGCCAAATGAGCAAAGGACTTGGAAATTTCATTTGGTTGAGATATGATCGATGAAGAGTTAATGAGTTGTAGTCCCGTCCAGAGACATGGATGAGAAGAATCACATGACTCTGTTTTATGTCCTGTTAAATAGGAAGTACGATCATTTGAACAGTTAAAAGATTAGTGTCTATTTAAAATTTTATAATTGTCATTTATGTTCTAGACATGCTTGAGACATCTCTTATGCTTCCTCGATCAATCTAACTGATAGTTTGATAGCATGCTGGAGCAGCATTTTAGTGAAAAAGCATGAGTAACAATTGGCATGTCTATAGATTCAAATTGGAAATTGAAGTTCGTATCATCATGTCTCTAATCAAATTGTGTGTTCTTATATAAACAATCAAGGAGACTAGAGGAAACTATTTAGCAATATTTTACATTTCATGAATTAAATTAAGGAATTAGCTTTTGTTCTTTTCTTCCTTGATTATTTAACAAGCTTAAGTAATGTAACCTCATCACAAGTATATATATGTTTGACTTCAAAGTTCAAAAAGTTTGATTAAAGTTATATATGTGACAGGGAACAAATTAACAGTTATACTGTGAAGTATGATCATCATTTCAATATGATCAATTAATAATACAATTAAAGATGACTAGCTAATTTATACCAAAAAAAAAAAAGATGACTAGCTAATGGTGATTCAAGGGATAAAAGGGAGAGATTGACACTTGTGCATTTTGGTAGACACACAGTGACAGCTAAGGACTTTAAATTTTAAACTATAATAAACCCCATTTTCAAATTCGTTTGTTTTTTGAATATTAAAAGTCCAGAAAACTGATTAGTTAAAAATCATGAAAATATTTGGTCTATGGTAACTTGGTGTTCAAAAGCATGGGCTAAATGAAATCTAGTGTGGAGTGGTTAAATTTCTATTTAAATTACCAAATTTTGACTTTGATTTATCTTTTTTTTGTGGACAAAATATGATCACATGGGACTTGATTATTAATTCAGTTCCATAATCCACCAAAGAGGATTGATCCCTAGAGTTTTTGACTAAGTTGATAGTCCTACAAACCATTGAATTGATTTGAAGGCAAAAAAATGAATGGCTTAGTTACCAATACAAAAAAACAGTTCAACACCTTAGATATTCATAACTGATTAAGATCAAAGTGAAGATTTTCTACTCATAGATTTCTACCTGAGTTACAATTTTTCACTTTCCCAAGGAAGAAAAGAAAAAAAAACCGAAATAATCTTTACAAAGAAAAAGGATCTAAAATGCTTCCTTTACAAAATTGTGCTGGCTAGTCGAAGTCAGTCTTGTCCTTGCAAGCTAGCACCCATTGAAGAAAGAAGTGACATTTAGGAAGACATCTTCTCTGCAAGGAATAGTAAGGGCACCCATTGGATGATCATACCCGAATTCTTCTTCAGCTTGGCTTAGCAACTCTTGAAATGAAGGTTGATTCAAGTATGATATGGGGATTACATACCTCTTCATTTTCTCTCCAACATATACCGCTAGATATCCCTTTGGGACTTCACTAGATTTTGAAAATGCCACTTTTGTAGCAAATGAAGCTCTTCTCATTCCTGGCAAACGAAAGCCCATGTTTTGTGCTTAGGAGAATAAGAAGAAAGCTCTCAAATTTTATATGCTTGAGGATGTTGTTGTAGAATTGGGTTGCTTCTGAAATGCATCCAGGTATATATAGATGCAAGGATATGTCTTGCTTCAATCATTGGTGGGCGAGAGGTTATGTCATAAAGTCTATTAGAAGACAAGGGCTCTTGGAGATCACATGGCTGTGTCTTGAAGGTCTTTTTCAAAAAGCAGCAAGTCAGGACGAGCCAAATGAAGAGAGGACTTGGAAACCATTTATTTGAGATATGATTTATGGAGGGTTAGCTCAATGAGGTGTAGTCCAATAATCCAGAGACATGGATGAGAAAGATCACATGAAATTTTGTTTGATGTCTTTGTCATAAGAAGGACAGTGGGAACATTTCAAAACTTAATGTCTGTAAAATAATTGTGGCATGTATATCCATATTACATATTGAGCCTTTTGAAAGAGTCTTGTATAGAATTGCAATAAACATGATTCTTGAAATCTGGATAACAATTTTTCTGGAATGTTGCTTTTCAAGGGAACTTTTCTTGGCTCAGTCTTAGGCGCAACTAAATAATGAAAACAGGATTAGGTTACTTGATCTATATTAAGAGTTTTTTTTTTTTTAACGTTGAAGATATCAAAGCTTTGTTTCAATTAATAGTCATTTTGGTAAACACAAGGCTTCTCTATTTTTTAATTTTTTCCATTACGATCTTTAATGCAAATTGCTTTAATTAGGTTATTTGGTCTACACTATGTGAAATGTTTCTCTTTTGTATGTAAAAATTGTAATAAGAATACAAAACTAGTCCTCTTGTTAATTCAGAACATTGCTCTGCGTTCCAAATTTGTTGTAACAGATCAATTCAAATGCCATAAGTTTCCAATCTGAAGATGAACTATTATATAATGCATTTCAGCATTTCTGAGAACCCTTCTGTGAACGGTTTCTAGTAGAGTGACATTCATTTTCATTATTCGTGTCATGGACTCCGATTATATTGGTACTCGGATCAGCTATTGCCTTCATTACATAATTTATATTGGTCCGGGTAACAAGTCCAGAGCCTACAAATTGCGATAGCTCTTGAATCTTGAAGGGACACACACACACACATATATATATAGAAACAGAACAAATTGACCTTCACAATTTAATATAATTGACAAATTGTAAAAAGTCTACTAAATCTATGATATTAATTTTTTTTTTAAAAAAAAAAAAAGGGTCTACCATTTCTATCTCGGACACAGTGAGTCTTCCCTGCAACTGCAAGGAATAGCAAGGCCATAATCCACTGGATGGTCATATCCAAATTAGGACCTGGAATTGGGCTTTGTCTAAGACGGGCTAAAACTGTGCTAGATACTTGGAGGCCCATTGTAAAAAATGAGCTAAAATTGGGCCTAGTTATCCCCGTCTTCATCATCAGATTAGGGCCCACTATCAAAGGTGCAAACGGATGGCTTTAAGAAAAACAAGCAATCACGACAGCGTATTCCAGAGGAAATCACGACAGCAGAAGGAGGAGAAACTGACAACAGAGTGAAAATGAAGAAGCTCACGTGATTGTGATTTGTGAGGTTTGATTTTCATTTTAGGACTTTAAATCAAACCTTCCATCTAACCATTTCCAAGTTACCCTTAATTTTTTAGTAGATTTACCCATATTTAAATCAAACTGTCGGGTCCAGTTCGATTCAATAACATGCCTATCATCAATCGATATTGCAGCAGAATATTTTAGTTCTCCGTCGTAATTTTAGCCTCTTGGGTTTTGTTTTATGCAGTGAATCCAAGAAGAAATTAAACTCAAAATGTAATAGCCTGACTCACAAACCAAGATCCATTCATGAAAAAACCATGCGAGGATGAACAGGACCTGTTTAAGATATATATGAGAAATGGAATTAGAACTTGTATGGAGCACAAGTAGAAATAAATAGAATGAAAATTGAAACATCTAACAGCTTCCATTTGGGAATGAAGTTTCTTCATCATGCACCAATGAAATCATACACAACAGCCTGAAGCATTATGCATCATTGAAGAGAATCAGACCATGAAATTTCTCTGGGTAAGCATTTTTTTTTTATATAAACTCTTCATTTGAGGAAGAGGAAGTCAGCAGTATCTTGCAGCCTTGGTGATCTGCGCCAAATGGGATTCCAACCTTAGATCAAAGCTCTTGAAGAGGTCACAGAGCACAATGGGAATTTTCTCCTCATTCTTTATCCTATGGACCAGTTCATTGGCTCTTTATCTCTGGAAGTGCGATAAAAAAAGAACCCCAGTTGGCGAGCAATCTCCTCTTGAATCTTGCTCACATCAGATTTTTTGTTTTCAGCTGCAGTAAGAACCAGATCAAACAGACGGTTTCTTTGAACTCTTCTGTAAACTCTTTGAAGCAGAGCGTCTTTGATATCATCATGTGAGCCATAACAAAGTCCAAGTAAGTATTAAGATCAACTAATGCCTCAATAACATTCTCTACCAGTATTGGCTTTCTCTATATGAAAGCATCATAACATAGCCTGATATCATATAATGTGACATTAATATCGTATCATATAATATCAGCTTAATGTTGCATCAGAAGCATCAGGACTACATTGACGCGGGGTTCTAATTTTGAAACCTCTTTTGATTCCTTCCTTATGCAATTTCCAACTTTTCACTACTATAAAAAAGACTTCTAACATTGATTTTTTAGAAGTATTTACTTCTTTATAGTGGGGGACATAAATAAGAGCGACATAAAAAATTGATACATCTACATCATTTTTAAGAGTGACATGAATAACAAAAACCACATCATTTCTTAACAAAAAGGGGCATGAATGATGCCCTTCTTTCATAATAAGGAATGTGAGTTATTCATATTTCACATCCCTTTTTTTTATAATAAGGGACATGGATTAATAATTCACGTCCCTTCTAATGAAAAAAAGGATGGAGATTATTTATTTATTTTAAATATATTATTTGTATTTTTTTTACAGTCAATTGAATCTATAAATTTTCACATAATCCACGTCCTTTCTAATGAAAAAAGGGACAGGGATTATTTATTTTTTTAATATATAATTTATATTTTACTTCATAACCAATTGAATCTACAAATTTTTACAACAATAACAACCCAATATTCAATGTGTCCAACAAATAATAACAGCAACAGCGCAAAAGTATATAATAATATATAGGTTAAATGAACACTAAAGTCATTATCTACTTAAGTATTCAATATTTATAATCAAAATCTAACAAACTACAACAATATACTAAGTAGAATTTCTAGCCTTCTAACTTAGATAAGTCAAGCTAAAATCTTAATTGAACAAATAATAAAATTTGGACTATGTAAATAACTTTTGAAAAAATTGACCTGCCAAACTATTTCAAATGTCATTTATCTCTTCACTATTGTAGGGCTACCCATTGTCAAAAAGCTACAAATTTTTATATGTTTTTCATTAGATCTAATAAAATTCTAAAGCCTCTATACTCCCTCTTTAAATTTTCATTGAGATTAAACTACATGCTAGGTGTAAATTCCCATCGGTACCGGATTGGATAATTTCATACATATAATGGACAATATAGTATTCGCACTCTACACTTCATATCTGTTGATGGCACTGGTCAAATAAAAATTAAATGATAAGCATAAACAATAAGATATATGAAATGATTGTGGATAATGAACATTGAATAAAAACTACTCACTTTTGAAAATATCTAAGTCGGTGGGCTATTTTTTTTTTCCCCACATGTGTGAGGGTGGTGACTTCCTCCCATCATATGATATATTTTTAGTAAACTATAATAAAAGTTAAACTAAAAAATAAGATATTAAAATAATTTAAATATATAAAAAACTAAAGTTTATAAACTATAAAACTTTAACTTACGTGTTAAATATATCTTTAGTTTCACCACTAGGTTGCTTGTTCATGGAGTAAAACCAATAAATCTTGTGCAAATATGAGCAGACAACACAAAGAGACCAATTATAACTACAATATATAAAAAATATAATCAATATATGAAAACAAGAAAAATATTACCAAACTAATAACACATCTATATAAATATAAACAACTTGCCCTTCAAGAATTGAGGCTAGATAACATGATAATTTTATTTTTGAAATAGTGTTGCCACGTATCTCGTCCTATCATGGATATTATTGTGAGTCGGTATCATAGAAGCGAGATACAAAAATCCAAATTGATTTTCTTTAGGTTCAGTGCAGCAATTTTTTAAAAACCTATTAGCAAAAGGAGATAAAAATTAATGCAAATAAATTAAAATAAAAAATGAGATAAAATATAAATAATAAACTCACAAGATTGATAACATGGCCTAAGATATATCTAACTGTCTTATCAATAGGAATTCTAAAATGCCTTTCTTATCAATCGTAAAGGGATATGATCTATCTACATCCACAATTCCTTTAAGCATCATCAACTGGATTGGCTTTATCATTGTCTTGAAAAACTCATATAATTGTAGCAAATAAGGAAAGTTCTCAGCATCTTCAAGATCTTAAGGACACATCAAATGAATACAAGTTATATAAATTAATTAAAACCAAAAATCAAACAATCATAGGTACTTTTTTACCATTGAAACTAACATATCCATGTCAACAAGTCTTTTAAGCCATAAAACAAAGTGACTTAAGACTTGGCTTAATTTTACAACCTCATCAGTGGGAAATGACACTTTCACATAAGGCTCAAGAACAATCTCAACTGACAACTTGACTCGATCGTTTGGAATAGTAATGTGATGGATTGTTTTCCCGAGCATGTATACCCGAGCTGTAGCAACAACGTACTTCATAGGCTTATCCAAATAAAGAAAACAAGAAGTCTCATCTCTGTTGAGGGACTAGAGGCATGTACTGCTGTCTCTAGTGGATTATGACTATATTTTGTGCTTTGAAGTGTAAGAGAAGTCTGGAGAAATAAATAAAAAGGTTAAACATAAAATATAAAAAATAGACAAGACTAAATATTTAACTAATTGAAAACTTGGGG